AAGGGCGTGATGAGATTTGGGAAGAAGGGCAAGCTTAGCCCTAGGTTTATTGTCCCGTTTGAGATTCTTGATCGAGTGGGAGAGGTGGCTTACAGACTTGCGTTGTCACCGAGCTTATCAGTCGTGCATCTAGTGTTTCATGTGTCCATGCTTCGGAAATATCACGGCGATCCATCCCACGTGTTAGATTTCAGCACTGTCCAGTTGGACAAGGACTTGTCTTATGAGGAGGAGCCTGTAGCTATTCTAGACCGGCAGGTTCATCAGTTGAGATCGAAGAGTTTTCCTTCTGCTTGTGTTCAGTGGAGAGGTCAGCCTACTGAGGCATTGACCTGGGAGTCTGAATCCGATATGCGGAGCTGTTATCCCCATCTTTTCCCCGACTTAGGTACTTCCTTCTTATATCCGTTCGGGGACGAACAGTTGTTTTAGAGGTGGAGAATGTGATGACCCGAAAGGTCATCACTTATTTTAAAATGAATTCTGCATTTTGAGGCCTTAAAAACTTCTTTCGGCATCACCTCGATTTGTGTGCGCAGTCCGAGCGCGTATCCGGAAAGCAATTATGTGAAAATCTCTAAAAAATGATAAATTTTGACTATAAAATGAATTAAGTTGACTTCGGTCAATATTTTGGATAAACAGAACCGGATCCGTGATTTGACGGTCCCGAGGGTTCGTAGGAAAATATGGAACTTGGGCGTATGCCCAGAATCGAATTCCGAGGTCCCAAGCCCGAGAAATGAATTTTTAAAGAAAATTATTTTCTGAAATTATTTATGAGATTTGGAACTGAATTGTGATTAAAACTTGATGGTATCAGGACCGTATTTTGGTTCTGGCGCCCGATACAGGTCTTATATGTGATTTAAAATAAGTGTGTGAAATTTGGTAAGAAACGGACTTGAAACGACGTGAATCGGATCGTTTTTGAGAAAAATGAAAAATTTGAAGTTCTTAAAATTTTTCATGATTTTGATGCTAAATTCATAATTGTTGATGTTATTTTAGTGATTTGAATGCACGAGTAAGTTCGTAGGGTGTTTTTGAGGTAGTGTGCATGTTTGGTTTGGAGCCCCGAGGGCTCGGTGAGTTTCGGATAGGTCTCGGGAGGTTTTTGAACTTAGGAAATTGCAGAATCTGTTGTCTGTTGGTGTCCAGGTGTTTATGCTATGCGATCGCACAGGAAGGTTCGCGATCGCATAGTATAAATTTCAGGGGTCCATTTTTGTACTATGTGATCGCATAGGTCCCTCCGCGATCGCGTAGAGTAAATTCTGGGAATTCACAAATTGTTCTATGTGATTGCATTGTTTCTTCCGCAATCACATATGTTAGACCAAGCCTGGGAAGGGAATCCATTTTCCTCTATGCGATCGCATAGCCTACTCCGCGATCGTAATTCCTAGTTCCCTTTACCCCATGCGATCGCATTCCCTTGTCCGCGATCGCAGAGACCAAATTTGCCCAGTCATTTAAACAGAACAGAACGCATACGGGATTAAACCCAAATTTCATAACTTCTTCTTCCAAGCTCCAAATTGGGCGATTTTTGAAAGAGAACTTCACCACAAATTCATAGGTATGTAATCCTAGACTCATTTTCTTCAATTTCTAATAACACTCATTAGAATTCTAGGCCTAAATCATGTTCTTAAAGGTAGAAAATTAGAGAATTGGGTAGAGTTAGGGCTTTTGTATAAATGGAATTTAGACCTCGTCTTGGGGTCGGATTTCGAAACTAAATACATATTCGGGCTCGTGGGTGAATGGGTGATCGAGTTTTGGTCTGAACATCGTGTTTTGACCAAGCGGGCCCAGGGTCGATTTTTAACTTTTTGGGAAGAATAATAGGAAATCTATAATTAAGCATTGTAATTGCATTTGTTTAGCGTTTATTGATGTTATTAAGTCGATTATGTCTAGATACAATTTATTTGGAGCCAAATTCAAAAGGAAAAGCGGTGTTTGAGGCTTGAGTTGGACGTGGAAGTTCGAGGTAAGTGTTTGGTCTAACTTTAGCTTCAGGGATTAGGAGTCGAGTCCTATTTGCTATGTGGTAATTATTGAGTACGACATATAGGCATGGTGACGAGTATCTATACGTTGGTGTCAAGCATGCCCGTGAGTCTTATATTGTGATTTTCATGACTTTATTGTATTATTCATGCCTTATGGTTTCTATTGTTGGCAAAGTTTGTGGAAGTAAATTGTAAAATCTGAACATTTAGGAGCGTTGGCTTAAGATGTATAAAGAAATGTGAAAGTATAAGTGGTAATTGAACCTTTTAGAGCATTAACTCAAGTTGTAAAGTGAGTTGTGAACTAAAAATGAAAACGAGAAAAGAATCACTATAGTGTCTCCCTTGTCGGGATATTGTTGTTATTTTGATGTTGTCCCTTGCCGGGACTTGTTGTTGAATTATTGTTCCCTTGCCTGGATCCTTATTTTAATTTCACTTATTTCCTTTACCTATTGTTTGTGATTGTTGTTTGGGTGAGGAAGAGAGTTAAAGCACGAAGGGTGATGCCGTGTATTGTTTTGGTGAGAGAGTGTTAAAGCACGAAGGGTGATGCCGTGTATAATTTGTGAGGAAAGAGTGTAAAGCACGAAGGGTGATGTCGTGCTGCACGATGCACCATTCCGTGCCGATTATACTGATTATATGGTGAGGACGAGAGTAAAAGCACGAAGGGTGATGTCGTGCACATTTTCGTTTCTTGATTGCTTTGGTGAGGACGAGAGTAAAAACAGGAAGGGTGATGTCGTACACTTATTGGTTTCTGATTCTTTGTTAATATCTGAGATATGTTGTTTCTTTCAATTACATGTTGTCCGTCTATTCTAAATTGATAGCTCCCCCGCAACATGTTATCCATATCATACTTGACTGTATATTACTGTTCTTCTTTTCCGCTGTATATAGTTGAATTGCACAGGTTTATTTTGTAGTCTGGTCCTAGCCTCGCCACTACTTCGCCGAGGTTAGGCTAGGCACTTACTAGCACATGGGGGTCGGTTGTGCTGATACTACACTCTGCACATAGTGCAGATCCCGGAGCAGCTTTTAGATCGTAGATTGGGTGGCTGCCTTCAGTCGACACGGAGATCCAAGGTAGTCCTGCAGGCCTTCGCAGGCCCTAGCGTCTCTCTCTATCCCTTTTATTTCTATTTCATTTCCTTAATTCAGAGACAGTGTATCGTTTATTTTCAGACTCTGTATATAGTATTCTTAAATCGTCAGTGGTACTATGACACCAGTTCTAGATGGTTGAGGTTCAAACAGTTGTATTAGATATTACTGCATTTCTTCCGCTAATTGTAATTTTCGCTATTTACACGTTGTTGCTTTATAATTGTTAAAAAGTATAAAATGGATAAAGAAGTAATTTGCTCAAATAATTGGCTTGCCTAGCTCATATTAGCAGGCGCCATCACGACTCCCGAGGGTGGGAAATCCGGATCGTAGCAACTTAAACAAATGAGAAGATACTATCATGAACCATAACTTTTGACATTTCAGGTGAATTAGGAATTAAAATAGATATCTAGTCAAAAAAAAAAAACTAACCAATCAATCTTATGCCTAGTACCATCCTTTCTCAGAATTTCAATTTCATCTATAGGGACATATGGGGTAAGTCCGAAAATTGGGCACATATTAATTGGGAACAATAAATCCCAAATAAAAGATGGACAATGACAAAATATAGCAACAATGAGTAACACACTGGTAGCTGCATAAAATTAGAAGAAAACATATACACCTGCGACTCTTAATTAAGCTCATGCTAATTAATTAACTCCAACTCACACCAATCACCACTGCTCCATGAAATATCTCATCTCAAAAAGACTGGAGCGGTGCCCTACAAATTGGGACTTTTATTACCATTGTGAATTAAAATATTTCACCAAGCGGACAATACATGTTAAATCATGCATTTAGTTCATAATGCATCTAAAGTAAAGTAATATTTGAAGCACTACCTGATTATGGATATATTTATAAAATTGGATCATCAAAATGTTTTTATCTAAAGAATTCGAGAGAATATATTCAAGTATTATACTGTAAATAGATGTTTCTCTTACTTAACATTACTATTTGCTTACTGTAATTAGATGATGAAGAAAGAAAAAATAATTATTTATTGTTTTAGGCATACCATCAAACATCATGGGTGCATCAGTGTGCAAAAGGAATTAGGTTTGCTTACCGAAAAATCAGATTCTGTATTCATTAATTATACATAAGCATGCACCTAGGCATCGATTTTCACATATGCAGAAACATAGATCATGCACCCCAAGTATTTTATTCCTAAACATCTATGTGAAAAGAGGTAAAAATAGTGGCATGCAGATAAAACATAAACCAAAAATTTTCAACATAAGAGGAAAACTAACTAAAAGATATTTATCAAAATTCCATCGCAAAGGAATTAGTGCAAAAAGAAAACAAAGAAAGAAACATGAAAAAACTCACCGTAAAATCACAGGCATAGAAGAGCCGAAGAGGTGAAAAGAAATCGCAAATATAAAATCTGGAAATCAAACAAAAATATAAAAGTGAGAGGGATGAAGTAAGAATGAAGGGAAGCTGAAATAAAATCCGGAGTAAAGCACAGAACAAGCGACTATTGAGTGCACATCTAATTATTTGTAAACGGTGTGGCCTACCTGAGAAATTTACAGAGCAAAAATGCACTTTCAGATTAAAGAACCAAGAAACAGGGATGATATCAAAATAGAAGTGAAAATAGTTAATAGTTGTCTCACCAAAATAAAAAAGCTAGCATGTGTAAGGAAATAGTAAGACAAACACTAATATTTACTAAATTGCCCATGTTCGTACACCCAACTCCCAACAACAACAACAACAACAACAACGACCCAGTATAAATCCCACAAGTGGGGTCTGGGGAGGGTAATATGTACGCAGACCTTACCCCTACCCCAAAGGGTAGAGAGGCTGTTTCCAGGAGACCCTCGGCTCAAAAAAGCAACAGGAGCCGATATATTAGTACCATAAAAATGCATAATAAAATAACAACAATATAAGAGATATGAAATACAGAATACGAAATACGAAATAGATGGCTGGTATAGTAAAACTAGCAGGTAAAGCCCTGCATCAATAGACGACCAATGACATTCTTAGTCTAACTCCTAACTAGCTAGTCTCACTCTATTGTGCTGTAGAAATATTCACAACTTTCCCCTAACCTACAACCTTAATGCTCGACCTCCATAATTCTCTGTCAAGGGTCATGTCCTCAGTAATCCTAAGTCGCACCATGTCCTGTCTGATCACCTCTCCCCAATACTTCTTAGATCGCCCTCTACCTCTCCGCGTGTCCACTACAGCAAGTACACCCAACTCCCATTTTTAAATAATAGTAAAAAGTGATGTTATACCAATCCTATAAAAAAATCTTTACACTACCGACGCATATAACATATGTCTTTTTTTGATTATTTTCACATATTTTAGCAAAGAGGAGAATAAGTAACGTATAGCTAGCAGTAGCGTCCGAGAAAACACAACGATTCAAAAATTGTGTTCTCTTAACTATTAAATTATTCGAGCTGACAGCGTCAAAGAAACAGCTCGACTTAAAATGGATGCAAGAGGCTACGAGAAGTAAATTAAGAGTGTTGGAGCTAGCTAACTCGAAAAATGTTTACATTTGCAATAAAATAAATTTATATTTTATATAATCAACTTTTGTCTGCATGTGCATAATTTTTTTTATTTCTTCTATCTCAAATAAATTACAACAATACTCAATTTCATACTTAACCTGGGTGTCCTAGTACCTCCCTATACTTGTCCATAGCAAATTTAATATCATCCTAAAAGCTGTTCTGGCAAAACAAAAAATAACTTCTTCTTTTTTTGCAAAAAAAAAAATGAATTTTCTTGGACTTCATGTTGAGTATTGAAGTTTTGATTATTAACAAAGTATGACTAAATGTTCAAAGAACCAGGTCCTCAACGGAGCTGTTTAACTGTTCTGAAGAACCAGCTCCTTAGGAGGAAGAATCAGCTCCTCATGATTGATACTTTTACATTTGTACATGACAATAACTTTATCTCAAAGTTACCATGTCCGAGTTTGGTGGAAGATGGCTTCTATAAGGGATAAGAGTCGTTGCTCAAGAAGATACGGATAATTCAGTCAGAGACAAAAGACCCAAAGCTTGTGGAATCCTTGGAATAGTAGGAGTCCTATCAAAGATGAAGTTGACTATGAACAGGACTCCTAGAAGATCTCAAGTTGTGTTTTAAATAGGATAGACTTTGGACTTCTGAACTATCCTTTTATTCATCAATTAAAGAGTCATAAGTCATTTACTTGTATTGAGTACTTGCCTTGTATTCTTCCTGAGTTAGTCTAGTGAAAGTATTTTAGGAAATTGAGTTGTAATCAAGTGCTATAAACAATTAATGAGTTGGAGTGAGTATTTTTCTTTACAAGTTAGAGTAACTTATGAATCAAATAGGAGTAGTAGGAGTACTGGAGAGTATTTTATTACAGTCTTGTAATTGATACATTTTGGCTCATTGTTCTAGTAGAGTTGGAGTTGAAAATTCTACGTGGTAGGCCGTATTTTTTGTACCTTTTGAGTCGCGTGATTTTTCACGTAAAAATCGATGTGTTTATTTTATTGCTTGTTTACTTTACGCTTAAGGAACACAGTAAAGAACCAAGTTCTTTAGTAATCCATACGGGCACTTAAACTAACAATTGGTATCAGAGCAGGTTCTCTCATTTACACGAGTAACACCTAGAGAGATCTTGGAAGCAAGATGAGTGCTCCACCCAGAATTAATGAAGGACAATCAACAACCAGGCCACCCCTGTTCAATGAAAAGTATTACAATTGGTGAAAGCAAGAATGGAAGACTTCCTGACAACTGAAGACTATGAATTATGGACCGTAGTGAACTAAGGTCCTTTGATTCCTATTAAACAAAATGCATAAAATGAAACAGTTCCTAAAGACCCCTCCAAATTTGTGGCAGCAGATTTCAGAATGATGGAGAAGAATGCAAAGGCTAAGAAGATCCTTATCTATGGACTTGGTCTTGATGAGTGCAGTAGAATTTCTGTGTGCTCTAATGCGAAGTAGATATAGGATGTATTCATAACTTATCATGAAGGAACAAACCAAGTAAAGAGATCAAGGATTGAACTGCTCATGAGAAGCTATGAGCTTTTCTCCATGAAGGAGTCTGAGCCCATCCAGGATATGATGACTAGGTTCACTATAACAACCAATGAACTGAAATCACTTGGAAAGATGTTTACCTCATAAGAGTTGATTAGCAAAGTTCTAAGAATCCTTCCAGCTTCATGGGAATCAAAAGACACTGCAATCCAAGAAGCTAATGGATTGGACAAAATCTCACTTGATGAGTTGGTTGGAAACTTAAAAACTCATGAAATGAGAAAGATAGAAATGCTCAATGAAGAACCAAAGAAGGATAAGGCCTTGGTTCTTAAATCATCTGAGGATGATGAATCTGACTATGATGATCCTGATCTAGTAATGTTTGCCAAGTTCAAGTGGTTCATGAAGAATTCCAAAATTGCATCCAAGAGAGAGACCAGTAGTAAGCCCAAACAGATCGACAAAACTAACTATGATGGATTCTACAAGTGTTGCAAGCTAGATCACATGGTCGAAGACTGCGCAATGTGAAAAATTGAGTGGAGGAAAGAACGAGCTAAAAAATAAAAACGGGAGAAGATGAGAGAAAGGGGTGCCGACAAAGGAAAAATCCTACGCAAAGGATTTACTGAAGTAATGATGCAGGCATTCTTGGCAGCATATGAGGATAGTGGAAGTGATCAGGAGGAAGAAAAGGAGGATGAGGCTATAAGTCTCTACGTTATGATTGATGAACACCAAGTTGTGAAAACAGAACCCACGATACAGCTTGGAATGCACATTGGAAGAATTCCTTTGTTTGATGAACACCACTATAATGAATAAAAGCTATGTATGTCAGGCTACTGACTTTGACCTATGGGTAATTATCAGTCATGGATCAATTCTCCCAACCAAATTAGATAGTGAAGGTAATAAGTGCCACAAAAGAGAAGAGGAATACGATGAGTAAGATCATCAGCTAGTTCAGAAAAATGCTAAAGCAAAGGACTTGCTCTACATAAGCCTGTCTAGAAACACTCTCCTCAAAGTGTCCTCTTGCATCTCTGCTCATGATATATGGAGGACCTTGGAAACTGACTTTGGAAATGGAAACATCGAAGTGGCTTTGATGGAAATTGTAGAATACAAAACAGAGGAAGAAGTGATAGGAATGCTGACCATGAGTAATTCAGAAACTGAAGATGAAGAGAACCAGGTAAGTATATCTGACTTGAAAGAAAATATTCACACTATGTACAAAAAAAACTAATAGCCATAGTTATGACCTTAATGAATGAAATGGATAAAATGAGTACTGGAAATGATCAGCTAATAAGTAACATTTCTTGTGTCAAACTTGATATCAAAGAGCTTGAATCTGAAAAAGCTAGCTTAGAGAAACAGGTCAAAGACCTTAAGAACCACGTTCTTGAGCTTACTTCTGAGAATGAGAAGTCTCCCTATATACATGGCAAAGGAAAAATGAGTGATATGCAGAATAAGCTTAAAAAGGAAATTAAAGTTGTTAATGATAATCTTTGTGATGCTGAATGTAGAAATAAGTCCTACATGAAAACATAGATAAGGCTAAGTATGAACTCTCTAGACTAAGCAAATGACATAGATCTTCTGATGCTTTGAATTGGCTGAATGAAAACTGTAGCTCTAACAAATCTGGAATTGGCTACAGAAAACTTATCCTTAAGTTTGACCCAAAGTATGTAGGAATTTCTGATAATAACGTGTGCACTCATTGTGGAAGAGTAGGACACTTTAGAGACATTGTCCTGCCTTAATTCATGCTCAGTCTAGAAATACCTTTGGTATTGCTAAAAATGTGAAGAAGGAAGAGGATCCAAAGTTTAATCCTCCAATCCTAAGTGGATTAAGGTTAACAAGAAAATAGCTTCTAATCCTCTCCTCTTCTAGGTAAGAAGGGATTTGATTCATCATTTTTCCAATAAAAAGGGACCTAAGCTTGTCTAGGTTCCCAAAACTAACTTGTGAATTTTGGTGCAGGCTAAGGTGAGAGGAAACAATCAGGACTAGTATCTAGATAGTGGATGCTCAAGACATATGACTAGAGAAAAGAAAAACTTCCTCTCACTGACAGCCTTCCAAAGAGGGAGTGTGTCATTTGCAATTGGGAAAAAGGGTTAGATAACAAGTATTGGAAAGGTTGGCAAGTTACTCTCTCATGTTATAGAAGATGTGTATTATGTGGTAGATCTTAAAGACAATCTTCTTAGCATCTCTCAAATGTGCGACAAAGAAAATGAGGTATAATTCAATTCCAAAATTTGCATTGCCACTAAGCTTGATACTAATGAAATTTTGTTAAAGGGTAAGAGATGTAACAATGTCTACAAGATATTGATTATTTCACTTCCCCAGAGTGAGCAAACATGTTTGAGTATGGTGGAAGATGATCCACTGCTATGGCATAGAAGACTGGGACATGTCAGTCTCTCTCAACTTAACAAGTTGACAACAAAAGACTTGGTCCTTAAGCTACCTAAAGTTAAGTTCACCTATGACAAGGTATGTGATGCTTGTGTTAGAATGAAACATGTTAGGTCATCCTTTAAATCTAAGAAGTT